CCGCGCCGCTCCCGCCCACCCGCTGGCCCTGGCTGCACAGCGCCCTTGGCCCCAAGTTCAAGTCCACCCATGGGCCCTGGCCGGGCAGCCCAGTCATCCGGACCCGCCAAGGCCACAGGTCCCCTCCCCGGTCAGGGCGCACACAAGAATCAAGCGATGAGCTCATACATGAGTGGAACAGCACATCGCTGCTTCTCTCTCTCTCTCTCTCTCTCTCTCTCTCTCTCCCCCTCCCTCGTGCCCCCCCTCCCTTCCTCCCTCTCAAAGAAAAACCCCAACAGAATCAACAAATAGAAACCCCACCCGTAGCTTCCTTGTTGAGTCTCTGCTGAGGCGGGGACAGAGAATTTCGGGGACCCCGAGCGGGGCTGTGCCAGCAGACAGGAGACAGCGCCCCTGCATGTAGACACAGTGATGACGGAGCAGCGGCTGGCGCCTCACACAAGCCCTAGCCCAGGTCCCGGCCGGGAGCATGGCTCGCGATCCTCTCATCTTCCCTCGAGGAGTCGTTTATGATCCTGAGAGATCGGCTGTGTGTCACGTGCTCCGTGTGATGTAGAGCGTGCACAGGGCACGGTGAGGTGTAGAGCATGCGCGCGTATTGGATTAGGCATCCAATAGAGTTGGTGTTTCCTGGGAATAAAGTGGAAACTATTCCTGAAACCAGGGGACCTGCCAAATCAGCGTCACCACGTGGAAGTCTGTTGTGTTCATTGACACAGACGGGGGTTTGCTGCGACAGTCGGTTGGGGGTCTGTGGGCCGGGCAGCGAGACTGTTGGGTTTGCAATGACGGACTTCTATTTTCATTCATTCATCCATTCCATTCATTCAATCTTATGTTTTTAAATTTGAGAGAGAGAGAGGGGGGAACATTGATGTGAGAGAGAAATACCAATCGGTTGCCTCCCATACGCCTCAAGCAGAGATCAAACTCACAGCCCAGGCGTGCGCCCTGACTAGGAATCGAACCCACAACCGTTTGGTGTGCGGGACGATGAGTGCTCCAAGCAGCTGAGCCCCCGGCCAGGGCAGACGGGCTTTTGGGTTCATTAGCGCTCAGTCTCCTCCGCCCAGCACAGCAGCCCTCAGCGAGGCACGAGGGGGAGAGGGGCCGGGACCATGAGGGAGTCGCCCTGTGGCGTGGCTGTGCACCCACAGATGCCAGCAGGG